AGTATAAAAACCTCCAAAACCTTAAAGAAGGAAGGATTTTTAGACTTCCTGTTGATGGGGAAAGCAAAGCACATTTTTTATAACGATCTTTTGGGGTGTTCTGGTACCTGCCAGGATTTCTCTGAGGCTTCCAGCAGTGTGGAGAAAAGCTCCTGCAAAATCACCATCTTCTGCTTGAGCAGCAGCTCCCGGTGCAGGGCCTCCTGTGGGGAAGGGAGATAAAATTGGGCATGTAACACCATTATTATTATTATTAATTATTTTAAATATTTAAATATCAAATTATTATTTAACAATAATATTTTTAAAGCATTATTCCTGATGAAAACCAGCTTTCCCAGTGGGTGCTCAGAATGTTTTGGTACCTACCTTCAGGTAGTTGGACAGCTGCATCATTTCCTGCAGGGGAAAGGGCAAATGTTTAAAAATAGGATTATATCAGTTTATAAACATTTAATGAACTGGCTACAAAATCTGAATGTTTTGAAATAGAAGTGAATTAGCAGCCTATATTTGCATGGTCGAGGAGAGCCTGCTGGGGTTTGTTTGGGTGGGTTTTTTTCCAGGGAAATGAAAATATTTTTACAGCAACTGACTGTGTTGGAGTTGGGGCGTTTTTGCCGTGCAATGTGTGACATCAAGGCAGGTGCTGAGTGAGAAGAAATCAGTGCCTTTCCTATAGCAGGAGTGTCATAACTTTGGAAAATACAGCAATTTAGCACCACTCAGTGTCCCAGTCAGAAATTCATGGGATGATTTAGGTTGGAAAGGACCTCAAAGATGATGTAATTCCACCCCTTCCACCAGCCCAGGTTGCTCCAAGCCCCTTCCAACCTGGTCTTGGACACTTCCTGGGATGGGGCAGCCACAGCTTCTCTGGGCAACCTGTGCCAGGGCCTCCCCACCCTTAAAGGAGAAAATTTCTTCCTCATATCCACTCTAAATCTGCCCTCCTTCAGCTGAAAGCCACTTGAAAAACTGATTTAATTTGTAGGAATTCCAGGTTGGTTGTTCCCAGTGTTTTGCTTACCTTATTAAAAAGTGCTGTTCCACAGCTGAAATAAAAACCAAAGTGTGTCAGTGAGGTGTGTGATGGGGGGTCTGCAACTATCTGTGCTGCTGGACACCCTCTGCCACCCCCCCAAGAGGTGGTTTTGTACAGCAAAAGCTTGGGCCTTTTTGAGGGGGAACATTTTGGGCTTGGGAAGCTGCTGCTCTGGGGGATCTGAATTCCCAGCCCAGGGAGGGAGGGCAGGACCAACTCACTCTGTCTGCTGGCTCGAGTCTTTCACTCCTTCTCTTGGATTTGTGAGGGTTTGTGTTCCTGTGAAGGCAAGGTGAAAGGATGTGAATGATCCCCCTGCCTGAGGGACCATGAACTTTGTCTTTTAGGGTGTCCATCTCCACTCCCAGATGGCCCCTAGGATGGGCAGCAGTTTAAATAGTGTCCAGTGACAACTAATAGGGGCAAGAGACAAAGAAATATCCTGTTCTGATGGACAGAGAAGTAGAAGCTGAATAATCCTGCAGAGATCCCCCTCTCCTGTCCCCTGGCTCCACCAGCACTGTCAGAGCTCATCATCCCTATTTACATCCCACCCTCAGAGGGTCCCAGCCTGGGAGGGCTCAGCCAGGGAGCTGCTGTGGCTGTGACTGGTGTGAGACTTCCTTGTATCCAGTAAATCATATTAATGTAGGAAGGGGGGAAAAAAAAAAAGCCCCCAGAGCTCTGGATAATGCTGGGATAGTGACAGGGAAACTGTAGGGCAGAGCATCTTCTTGGCAGCACTGGGGGTGAAGCTGTGGGCTGGTTTATCCCTCCACAGGAAAAAGTATTCCTAATTCCTGCAGTGTTCAGGAGAAACTCAGACTGGGCTGGTCAAAGCTGGCTGGGGAGCTGGGGTTGGAGGGGAGCCACCAGCTCATCCCAAAGAGTTTGGTGATGGAGACAGGGAGGTGAGAAAGGGATGCTGTGGATGCTGCTGTGCTGGGAAACCAGAGCATCCCTCACCTACCTTGGGTGTTCACAGAGTCACTCTGCCCAGGAATGGTTTCTGCTGGAATGCCAGGGGGGATGTGGAGGTGGAGCAGGGGCTGTGCAGGGGGTGACGTGGGGCTGCTCCACAAGTCCTGGAATGAGAGGGCAGCTTGAGTCAGTGTCTCTCCAAAATAGGCTGAAGGGAAAGGGTTAAGGCCTGGTCAGGCTTGGTAGCTGTGGTGACTGGGTGAAGAGCCTGAAGAAACCATGGCAAGTCCACAAGGATCTGCTGCTTTGGCTGCAGCAGCTCCAGAGCTTTTTTGGGAAAGTGGAGGAAAAACCAGCTGGCTGCTGGGGTGGGAGGAATGGCAACACCAGAACAGGTCAAGGAATCCCCTCTAAGTGTCTTGACATCTTTTTGGGAAAGATGAGGACTTTGAGTGGCAGGGAAATAGGTCCTGGTTTAGGTCTCTGCTGCCATTTGGCTGCCTTGGAGCAGAGGTACCAGTTCTGCACTGGCTTCCCCCAGGGCTGGAGCCTTGATATCTCTGCAGGAGTAAATAGAGAAGGCCCTGTGAGCGTGTAAATGCCTGTTCCAGATTCCTGTGACTAACCCTGGTGAACCAAACGGCAGCAGGAGGTTGGTAATTGCTCTGCTCGGTCTTGTGCTGCAAAGGGAGTTTGAGGGTGTGCCCGGGTAAGTCACCTCCTGTCTGATTGTCTGTGCTCACACAAGTTTGTGAAGCCCCAAGGATGAACTCAGGGAATGGTTCATTTTACACAGGTAGAAGTTTAGGAGGAAATCTCTTTGGTTCTGACTGGGGTGTTTTGCAGCCTGCCACAGATGTTATTCAAGACAGAAAGCCCTCTGGGTTCCTGTCAGCTGTGCAGCACAGGGCTGGCAGTGGGTGCCAGGGAGTCTCCTGATCCCTCCACCCTTCCTGCGAACAGCAAAGGTGGCTGGAGGGAACCCAGGTGCTCAGAGCTCGCTTAGCAAGGCTAAAATAACCTGTGTAAGTGCAAACCTGTAGCCTGGCAGCTGGGATGTGGCGTTGTGCTTGGAGGAATGGCAGAAAATGCCTGGCTCAGGGTTCGGAAAACAGGAGAGGAGCACTCGGGGCGGGGGTGACAATGTGTGTGCCTGCACCTGACTCTGCAGGGCGTGAGGAGAACACGTGTTTTTGTGCAAATCCCACGTTTTGGCTGCGCTGTGACGTGGATCCCGGTGTTCTGGTGGGTGCTGAGCTGTGCCCCGAGGGCAGGGGTTACCTGGAGCAGGACGGTCGGTGAGGAGCCCGGTGGGGTTCGCGCCTCCGGCTCCCGCCTCGGGGATGCCCTTCCCGCCTCGCCCGCCAGGTTTCTCCTCCTCAGGAACTCCCTCTGGCGCGGGCTGTGGGGTGGCTGCCCCGCTGCCCTCGGGAGGTGCCGGCAGGTGGTCGCGTTGTTCCTCCTGCGCAGGTTCTCCCTGCCCTCCTGCCGCCGCTCGCACTTCTCCTCGTAGCTCTCGCCCGAGCGCCGGGGCCGGGACCCCACCCCGGGCTGGCTGATCATCCTGGGCTGTGACCTCCCCGAGCTCCTCTGGCCTGGTGGAACTGGGGGAAAAGACGCCGTTTGGGTCAGAACTAATGGTTTCTAAGGTTTAGTGAGTGTGAGGTGTTCGGTTCTGGAGTCCTCAGGCAGGGGGTGTAAATGTTGCTGCAGAACGACCTGCAGGGATCCCCGACAGGAGGGTGTAGCCAGGGGAGGGTCGGCCTCTCCTCCCAGGCAACCAGCAGCAGGACAAGAGGGCACAGTCCTAAGCTCTGCCAGGGGTGCTTTGGGTTGGACATTAGGAGGAAATTCTTTTCAGAGAGGGGGATCAGACCCTGGAAGGGGCTGCCCAGGGAGGTGGTGGAGTCACTGTCCCTGGAGGGGTTTAGGAAGAGGCTGGATGTGGCATCATCATGGTCTGGTAGACAAGGTGGTGCTAGGTCAGAGGTTGGACTCAGTGATGTCAGAAGGCTTTTCCAACCTTGCTGATCCTGTAAATCCATTGCCCATGAAGTCTAAAACACACCCTGCTGATCTTGCTCTGTTGGGTGGGTCCTGACCTGGGATTAGCCAAGCTCTGGCTTTCTTTCATTGCACATACAAGTGTAGAGACCAACTATTATTCCTTGGGATTGATTAATTGTTAAGTTGTGCTCTAGGACTGGGGGCACAGGCTCTTAGTTTGCCTCAGGTGTGAATTCTGCCCCATGTCTTGGGAATTTGGGGCCCAAACCAGGCAGTGGCGTGGCCAAAGGAGGAGATCCTCCATTCCAGCACTGTTGCACTGTCTACAGGTGTGCACAGGGTGCAGGGATGGAACCTCCTCCCTCCTCATGACTTCTCTGCACAGTTGCAAGTCACCACTGTGTTATTCCTTACTGGATTTCAGTGGTATCAAGTGTATTTGAGCCTTTGCCTATGCATCAGTTAAAGGGAAAGCTGAGCAAGAACTACCCAAACTGCTTTTCATTCCTCCCCCTCTCTGGTCCCCTGGCCCCATCAGCAGTGGCAGAGCTCATCATCCCTATTTACATCCCATAAATGTTACTCAGAGGGGCTCAGCCAGGGAGCTGCTGTGGCCATGCCTGGTGTGAGATTTCCTTGTATCCAGTAAATCATGTTAATGTAGGAAGGAGGGGGAAAAAAAAAAAGAGGAATTTTAGTCTCTGAAAATTCAGGTTAAATGTTCCTCAGTGTGAAACAAAAACCACCAAAACTTCATTGGTCTCATTCTGTCTCAGGCAATTAGGAAGTTATTGAGTCTAATGGGAAAAAAAAATGGGAACAAGTAAGTCTCATTTACACGTGAAATACTTCCATGCTTTGAGTCTGCATTAAAATCTGCTCTGTAATTCTTTTTATTGGCCTTGTGTTCGCTGTGGAGTGCTCAAAGCTCATTCCTGGTGCCATCTTTCACTGTAGGGGCATCCTTTGCAAGAAGCACAGTGTTTTTTGGGTGGTCAGGTGCCCACAAGCCCCAGCCAGGGCACTGCTCCGAATGCTGAGCATTTTTCAACTGATTTTGCTGAGTTTTAGACAAGGTCCCATTAAATGTCCCGCCCAGTCTGTGCTCATCCATCCACTCCCATCAGGAATAGCTCAGCCCCTCTCCCACCTGCGCTGTCCCAGGGCTGGAATAGCCCCAGTTAACCAAAAATGCACTTTAAAGCAAGGTAAAGCTTAAAGAAATACACAGTCCATTACTCACCCTGAGCTGAGCAAACTGTTGAGGCCTTCTTGACAGGCTAACACTCTATTTCCTCCTTCTGTTACCCCAAATCACCCTCTCTAATTAAACATGTCCTTTATCTGTGCTTTCCAAGCTGTTACACTTCTTGCTTCAAGGGAAACAAGAAAAAAAAAAAAAGAAAAAAGACCAACAGTGCTTCTTGCTGGTTCATGTTACAGCTTCCCGGTGCAAGTTTTGTGTAGGCTGAAAGTGGGGTGAAAAAAGAGGAAAGAAGGTGCACGTTGCTGTTTTTAGTCTCTGCTCCCCCCCAGTCCTTTCTGGCCCTGGTGCTGTGGGTGCTCCAGCACTTACCTGGCCCCAGAGGTCCTGTCCTACCCCTGGACTGCTGTGCAGGAGCAGGGTGTTATCAGGCATGAACACGCTCCCACTGCCATCTTCGTGCCAACCCCCTCGTTTTCTGCTCTCACTCTCTTTTCTTCCTCGCTCTGTCAAACAGGAAACGTTGCAGCTGCAGCCGAGCCCCGGTTCCTGTCTCTGCTCACAGCCCCGGGTGTGGGACACAGGGCCCCGGCTCACGGGCACTTGGGTTATCTTGGGAGCCCAAACTCTCTCCAGCTTCTCTCTAAGCAGACCTAACAATTATCTTTTGGGCCATCTACTGGTCTCCACCATGCAGAGGTCGAGTGCTGGCTCATGGAACTGCTCGTGGCACTCGGTGACTGGGTTTCCCCAAAGCTGCTTTGGGGTAGAGAAATCCAGACTTAGGGAAGCACAGTAATGCTATTATTTTAAGGGCTTTTTGCGGATTGGAAAGGAGGGAGAGGGGGGGAAAAACGTGTTTTGGCAGCTGAGGAGAGCTCAGGAATGGCAGAAATTTATTAAGGTCTTTAGAGAAGCGAAAGCTTTGTTAATGCAAATCGAGAGGAGGTGGGTTTAGCCAGCTGGCTGCTGATAAGGACTCAGTGCCCTGGTAAGGGTTCTGTGCCCTGATAAGGGCTCTGTGCTTGTGCACGTGGAAAAAGAACACAAGGAAACGTAGAGATCTCGTAGTAATGTAGGATTTATTTTTACAAAGGCCAACCTAGAAGGGATATAAAAAGTTTCCTGGTTCTTGTGGCTTTGGGTGGTTTGTGCTGCTTGGCCCAAATCCCTGTTCTAGCTCGTGTCCTGTGGTACTTTGGTACCTCTGCCTTGGTGGCTTTCCATGGAGGAACAGTTTCTGGAGGTTGAGCAGGACGCTGGCAGCAGATCCTGCTGCAGGACTTCTCTGAAGTGCCTCTTGGGTGGAAAAAGCCAGTTGCAAGAGTTCATTTCTGAAAAGGGTGTTCTCCTGCCATGTTACACACTTCTAGAGCATCCCGTCTCGAGTTGCCAGGATGTGTCAGCACGGGAGGTGTGGAAGCAGCTGGGTTAACCCCCAAACCCCTGCTGCCTGGCCCAAGGGGTCCTGGCACACTGGCTGTCCCGGTGACTACGTTCTTTTGAGGTTTTCCACGCGGTAGCTGCTCCTGATGGAGGAGTCAAGGAATTCGGGGGCGATGTCCCGGAGGAGGACGGCAGTGCCCACCACCCAGGGCGGGTAGTGCAGCTCCCGCTGGCGCAGGAATCCAGCCCTGATGATCTCCAGGGCACACTCCTCCTTTGGAGCCGGTTTGTCCCGGATAACATGCGAGATCGCTCGCACGGCGCTCTCTGGGAAGGGGGGAGCACAGGGAGGGAAGGAGTGGTGTCAGATGGAGGGGCTGCCACAGGCACCAGCCAGGGTGTCTGGAGAATTCTCAAACTGACAAACTCTGGGGATCAGACCTGCTTAAGGAGGCTTGGAACAGTTACAATAACAATTACAGCTACGCCCTTCCCGTTCCTTTCCAGCTCTTGAGTGACCACAGGGTGGAATCCCCACCTCCCCTGCAAGGGTAGCAGAGTTAAAAGTCCCAGGCCACTCTTTTTAAAGAGTTGGGGTCCTGTTTCCACCATTGGACAGACACTGCAGGCAGAGGGTCCAGCAGTGGTGGCAGAACAGCCTGGAACCAGAGGGTGGGCCCAGCTTGGCTCTGCCTGGGAATGGACCGAGTCCTGAGGCCCCAGTGGTGCTGAGCTTACCTGTGTTGATGTAGCCCAGGATGCAGAGTGTGATGGAAACATTGACCTTGTCCATGATGAATTCGTGTCGCAAGGAGCTGAAAAATCCATCCAAGGCAAACTTGGTTGCAGAATAGGAAGCAGCAAATGGGGAGCCAACTTTACCTGAAGCAGAGAGACAACGTTGGGGTTCATGTGCTGGGCAGGCACCAGTTCTCCCTTCCTCCTGCCCTTCAAGGAGCTGCAGTATTGTGATTTAGATCATGGAGTAAACTGTCATGAATGCTTGAGGGAAATAAACAAGTGCAGGAGTGTTTAAAATGTAACATATGGCACGAAGCACCTTCTGTTTGGGGGTGATACTGTTCTTGCATTCAGGAAGAGACACCCACAGATAGCAAATCGTGTTTAATATGTGGCCATGCACGTAAAACAACTGCAGTGCCATGCATGAAGGTGATTAGTGGGTGACTAGAAGGACAAAATATAAGCTATAAATCTCCCAGAGGACTTGAATTGGGTGTCCAGGATCCAGGTCTTGCTGACCCTGACTCCCTCATGTGCTGACCTGCCAGGGATGAGACCACCACGATGCTGCCCTCGCTCTCCCTCAGCATGGGCAGGGCTGCCGTGGTCATGGCCACGTAGCTCAGGAAGTTGGTCTCCATGAGCTTTCGTATGTGCCCGACGTTCCCATCGAAGTAGTTGAAGGCAGAGTGACCGATGTGGTTTAGGATGAGCATATCCAGGCCACCTGCAAGCAGAGCACGTTTGCTGTTAGCAACAGGCTGAGCAAAGCAGCTTCCTGGGGGTTGAAATGACCCCCAAAGTGGGGCAGGGGATGTGCTGGGCAGCGAGGAGGGGCAGCTCCACAGCACCTACCCCAGGTGTTCTCAGCCTCCCTCACCACCACCTCGGGGAACGAGGGGTCCTCCATGGAGCCGCTGATGTAGCGGGCAGAGGCAGCTCCCAGCTCCAGGCATTGCTCCACCACCTGTGGGGACGGGGGGAATGGTGTTGACATGGACTCACCTTCACGGAGCACCCCCATCCCAGGCTGTTGCTGTCTCAGGGCATCTCCCTGTCCTGCTGGAAACCCTGCTCCCTTTATGGGACGAGACATGTTGCTTGGAAAACTGATTCTGTCTGCAGGGTTGAATGACAGCACATCTGAGCCAAATATTTAGTGTTTATAAATAGGGATGTGATTGCTTAATGTTAGTGTTTTGATTCCGTTTTATACAGGATACAAAACCAGTTCAGAACTGGAGAAAGGGCAAGGGTTGATCAGACGAGGACTTGAGCAGGCCTTGTCTGTGGTGGTGGAGGTCAGAATTCACAGCTGGAGGCTGTAGAGAAGGAAATGCTGTGCTGCCAGCATTGAAAATGCAATTTTTGTAGTGGGGGTTGTGTGTGTGTGTGTGTTAGAACAGGCTCGTGCTGGGGATACACTGGGGTGGGTCTGGAAGGTGTCTGTGGTGTTCCCATGTGGGTATCCTCATCCAGCCCGGCTCCGCTCGCCATTTACTTTGTTCAGCTTGGCCTCAGTCCGTGCCGTGAGCAGGAGGTGTGTCTCCATGCGTGCCAGGTGATAGGCCATCTGCTCCCCGATGCCGCTGCTGGCTCCCGTCACGATCACCCGCTTCCCCCGGAGCATCTCTGGAGAGGAGGGTGCGGAGCTCAGAGCCGGCACAGCCCCTGTTGTCTCTCCATCCGCACGTGGGCACTGTGCCTCCTCTCTGGCCCTGCCACCCCTCACCTTCGGGTGCGGGAGCTGCGGGCACCCCTCTCCAGACCCCCGCTGGAGCCCGATCCTTAATCCCGGCCCGGTGGGGAGAACGTGCGAAGCTCAGAGCCGGCACAGCCCCTGTTGTCTCTCCATCCGCACGTGGGCACTGTGCCTCCTCTCTGGCCCTGCCGCCCCTCACCTTCGGGTGCGGGAGCTGCGGGCACCCCCTCCAGACCCCCGCTGGAGCCCGATCCTTAATCCCGGCTCGGTGGGGAGACCGTGCGAGGCTCGAGCTCTGCACCCAGCCTGGCCTGGGAGCAGGGAGAGCCGGCTAATAAAAGGATTAAAGCAGAAAAGCGCGCATTTCCCAAGTCAGTCATTCACAGAGGTCGCACGCTGCGTGTCCCAGCAGAGCCGGTGTAACCCCGGCAGTTCTTCCCCTCAGCTCAGGAAGGACATTGAGGGGCTGGAGCAGGTCCAGAGGAGAGCAACGAGGCTGGGGAAGGGACTGGAGCACAAGTGCTGTGAGGAGAGGCTGAGGGAGCTGG